GAAAGTATTGCTTGCCAAACATAATCCGTTATCTATGAGTTCTATCTATCTATTTAATCTATCTGAAAATTACGGAGTTAGTTTTAGGTTCCTTCACATAAAAAGGAACCTTTTCATTTCTTCTATAACATAAGAAAATTAGTAGAGAAACCTAATATCTCTATGAATTAGTTGTGTTTGACATACAGATAAGTAAGCATCATTTACTAGGTGTGGAAGAAATACTGTTTATTTTAATTTAAATCAAATTAAAATAGACTTTCAGCTTGCAGGAAACTTAAGCTTGGTTTTTTGGTAATTTCCTCCCCCTTCCTAGAGTTGTACGTCACGGGAATCTTTTACTGATCCCATTTAAAATAAATTTCTGTATATCCTCACAGAGTGTGCTCTGTACCTTTAAAAAATGTGTAGTAAAATGACAACATAAAATTTACTATTTTAACCATTTTATCTGTACAACTTACTGGCAGTAAGTACACTGACAATATTGTACAATTATCACCATTATTCATTTCCACAACTTTTCATCATCCCACTCTGTGTACATCATATAATTCCCCACTCTTATAACTCCCTATTCCCTTTCTTCAACTCCGGGTAACCTCTATTTTATTTTCTGTCTCTGTGAATTTGCCTATTTTAAGTACCTCATATAAGTGGAATCATACAATCTTTGTCTTTCTTATCTGATTTATTTCACTTAGCATAATGTCTTTAGGTTTGTCCATGTTGCAGCATGTATCAGAATTTCATTTTGTTTTGAATAATGAATAGTTGGATAATATTCCATTCTCTGTATATACCACATTTTGTTTATTCATCTGCAGAGGGACACTTGGGTGGTTTCTACCTTTTGGTTAATATGAACAATGCTTTCATAAACACTGGTGTACAGTAACTGCTTGTCCTTACTTTCAATTCTTTTGAGTATATACCTAGGAGTGGGCTTGCTAGATCATATGGTAATTCTATGTTTGACCTTTGAGGAACCACTAAATTGTCTGCTACAGTGACTGCATCAATTTACATTCCCATCAGCGAAGCAGGAAAGTTCTCTGTATCTTTTTGTTTTAGGGGAAACATGGAATCTCCCTGGAAGATGCAACTTCCCTTACATTTTTGAGTGGATACCAAACATTCTTCCATGCATCACACACTGTGCAGGTCTCTTATGATATATCTAGTGATATGTCACTCTTCATTCAATAGGTAGGATTTATCTGTTTTTGCATCATGCTCAGAACTAAGTGCTTCACTTCATTTAAGCATTTCACTTAAATAGTAACATTCTGCTTTCTGATTTCAATCTCCTGTCTCTTCAGCTCTTGAATTATATATATATATATTTTTGTGTGTGTGTGTGTGTGTGTATTTTGAGACAGAGTTTCACTCTTGTTGCCCAGGCTGGAGTGCAATGGTGCAATCTTGACTCACTGCAACCTCCACCTCCCAGGTTCAAGCGATTCTCCTACCTCAGCCTCCTGAGTGGCTGGGATTACAGGCATCTGCCCCTACGCCTGGATAATTTTTTGTATTTTTAGTAGAGACCGGGTTTCGCCATGTTGGCCAGGGTGGTCTCGAATTCCTGACCTCAGGTGATCTGCCCAATCTCTCATGTTCAGAAGCCAACACTGACCCCTACTTTATGCAGGGGGTGAGGGGTGTGGCTAATACTAATCGTGGCCTCAAATTTAGTAATACAGCTATTCTTAACTCCTTTACTCCTGTCTCTGATCACAATTTGGCCAGCTTCTTTTTCAAGGTGAACTTTTCTGCAGATACTCTAAATTCCAACTCTTCCTACTTCCTCTGGAATCCTGCTCTATAAGAATTCTTTCTTTTGGCTTCTTCAAATTAGCCATAAATATACTCAAGTATTTGCTATTTTTCAAAAACAAAAATCCTTAACCTACGTTTCCTCTCTTCTCAATTATCACAACCACCTTTCTTACTCAAGTTTCTTCAAGGACTGCTCTATTGTCCAAATTGCTATGCTTCTTTACCTCCTAATTACTCTTCAATTCACAGAAAACTGATGTCTATATCTAATACTCTATTGACTAAACTACTCTGTGGAAGTCACTAATGGCCACTGAATTTCCAATGTAAAGGATACCTTTGGTCCTTATCAGAGTTAACCACTTAGTAACATTTGACTCTTTTTTCCTTTGGGAAATCTTCTCTAGTTTCAGTGATATATTTTTTGGTCCTACTCCTACCTCACTGATCTTTTGTTTTAAAAAGAAATATATCTTAACACTGGTTGATCAATAACAATAAACCAAACACTGTGCTCAGAGCTGAACACACTTAAAACAACCCTATAAGTAGGTACTATTACTCTCATTTTAAAGAAAGGAAAGGAGTTTGGTGAGGTTCATTTATACATGACCACACATGGCATGGCTGTCTAATTGCAAATCCCAGTGGCTTTATTACATCACCAGAAATATTTTTTAAGTAGCAGTGAGAAAAGTAGTTGTGAAGCATATCTTTGAACCAAAAATTACCAACTTCTATTTAGAAGAGATCATATAATCCTACTAGACTCATGTAGATTTTAAAGAGTATTTGAAAAACAAGAATTTTAGCCTTATGATTTTCAAAAATGATTCAGTCATCTTTCACAATTTGGCAGAGAAGAAGCTTCAGGAACTGGCATCAAGGTTTGCTTGTTAGGAAGTAATGTCGGTTCATGCAACATTATCATATACCTCTCGGAATTCTCTGACACTGTCACTTCATCAACAGAGCACCCACTGTCCTGTCCCATAAATGCTACTGGAGAATGTTCCATAAAAACCCTCTCCATCAATAGGGTGAATCTACTACTTACCACATTGCAATGTCCATGGTCAGGGCACAAATCATATGGTATTCATGTGTTAATAACTGGTTTAATATCTGCCTCTTTATTACTTTACCAATAAGAGACCCTAATTTAATGGAGCTAACTGAAATATGCATGTAGAACATCAGCTCTCAAACTTGGCTGCACATGGGAATTTTCTAGAGAGCTTTAAAAAGACACTGATGTAATCAGCATGCAGTGGGCTAAGCGTCAGAATTTTTAGAGACCATCAGATTATTCTAATAGCAGCTACAGTTGAGAGTCATTGGTGTAAAAGACAGGCGAAAGAGTGTAATATTCATTTTATAGTCCAAAATAAAGTAGGTTGGTAGTACGTATTCATTCACCACCAGGGTTTTGCTTACCTGTATGCCCACTTATAGATACTAATTCTAATTGCAAAAGCAAATGATTCCCAACAGTCAGTGACCAACCAAACATACTTGATGTATGATAACTGCATTTGTTTCCAAGGACAGCCATAACAAAGTACCACAAACTGGGTGGTACTGTTAAAACAACAGATATTTAATGTCACATAGTTCTGGAAACTACAGAAGTCTGGAATCAGGTGTCAGCTGGGCTATGTTCTTTCTGACAACTGTAAAGGAGAGTCCTTCCTTGCCTCTTCTAGTGTTTGGTGTTTGCCAGCAATTGGTGTTTGCCAGCAATTGCCTGGCTTGTAGATACATGGCAGTCTTCTCCCCATGTGTCTTCAGATTGTCTTCCCTCTGTGCATGTCTGTCTCTGTGTCCAAAATTTCCCCTTTTTATAGGGACACCAGTAGTAGTGGATGAGAGCCCACCCTACTGACTTTATTTTAACTTGATTACCTCTGTACAAACCCTATTTCAAAATAAAATCACATTCTGAGACAGCAGGGGTTAGGACATCAGCATAACCCTTTTGGGGGGCATAATTCAACTCATAACAATAGCCAACTACTACAGATGTTACTAACATTGCTCCAAAGCAGGAGGGCTTAACCTGGGGATGGGAAAGAATTACACCTTTATTTTCACCAACTCTCATGGAACTACAGTATTTCCTACAATTATGAACATGAGCAAGAAATTGCAGTAGTACTATCAGTGGTTCTTGAGAGTTTGCACCCATAGAAATCACTGGTATTTTCATGTCACATTTCAGCATTTGCAGTTATCCAAAAATACCACTTACAGTCATCACTGGCTTGAAATTAAAGTTGTTAATGGACTTACTGCTAGATCTAGTTATTTCATCTATTAATAATGATGCATGTATATCATGATATATCATGACACAATATTTTCTTAACTGTATTTCAATTAAACATTTTTATTTAATTGTATTTTATGCATTTTAACTTTATTCTCAGAAAAGGTCCAAATTAAAACAAAAATCTTTCAAAAATTTAATAGCCCCCTTAGTGAATTTCTACATTTCAGACTTGAGGATTTTTTTAAACTTAGTAATGAAAGAATATACATAGCATTGTACATCGGTGTGTTTTTTCAATGTTTTCTACCATGATCCACTGTAAGATTATATGTTTTACACATAACCCAATACACAATCTTTTCTCTGTTTCTCACATACAAACCTGAAACAAAAGTTTACCATTACTATAAGAGATGCATTCTGACATTTCTATTCATTTTCATTAAAAAATACCTACCTTATTAATGTTACAGGAGTAGTTGTGAATACTCCTGTAACATAAATTAATAACTCTGTCATATTAAAATACATGAAAGATTATTATTGCTATGCATGTGCTGTTTTAAAAATATATATTTAAATATATATTACATTTATATGTATAAAAAATATATATATATATTTTACATTTACAATTGTTTTAGAGGTGGTATTTAGATGGACAAATAGCTCAACAGCTATCCAGGCTTCATTCAGACAACTGGTAATGGATTATGTAAATTTCATAGTTATGACGAGAGTGGAAATTTAAACTTGACCAAATATAGGAAAGAGAAGAGGTAGAATAAGAAATATTGTAAGCCTGAATCTTTTTTTAGTTATAAAAATGCTTTAAGTGCATAATATTTAATTTCATTGAGGTATTTCCTTATTCACTATTGTAAAATCAGGTAGAAACATTTCCCAAACTAACAATATTTACTTAACCCCATGCTAAAAAGAATTTTACCTGTAGTAAACTCGAAGGGTCTGGATTTCCTCTTCCAGTTTTTTGTACTGTTGAACTGCAGTTTCTCTGGCTTGTTGCATAGATAACAACTTTGCCTGCAAGCAATTAATATTTTAAGAAATTCAGTATTCATTTTAGTGTGATAAAATAGAGTACTACAGTAAGAACAGTAGTCTTAAATTACTGACAGTTTAAAAAAAAACAAACTTATGAATGTTTTCAGTAGAGTCTCATAAGTTACCAGAAAACAGTCTAAAGGCATTAATAATACAAATACTAAAAACTTGAACATATTAAATTTAGCAACCTTGCTCATTACTAAACTTCAACCTTATTTATCTGTATCATCAGATATATGCCCTTCTGCAATGTTTAACTTTATACAGAGAATTCAGAAAGTGGAACATGGGTTTCAGAGCAATATCTATAGTAGAGATAAGTACAATGTGTGTTTCACATACAAATTTAATGTGGCTCCACTGCCTGATCATACTAGATTTTCTTTTAACTTTATTAACAGTAAAACTCAGAAAATTCTAAATATGTTGTCAAGCCATCTTTCATACTGAATGTGAAAAAAATATAGCAGGCTACAAACTGATTCTTACAGTTATGACTTAACCTTTTCAATTCCTTCTCTGTGGGAAAAAAACAAATTCTGAAAGGGGAGAATGGCAGCAACCCTAAATGCTAGTGATACTTTATTAAAGGGGCATTATTGTTCCATCCTGCTATAATATTTCAGTTTTAAAGAATGGGTAATCAGTTTTTTTCAATGAGGTTCAACATAGTAATTTTAAAAGAATTTGCCACCCTCCCACCATCATTCCCATTGGATTTCAAACAACACCAAAAACAGTTTTCAACATAACTGAAAATCTGGCACTGGTAAGTCAGATTTTAGTATTGTTTATTCAAAGCTAAATTTTCATAAAATGGTTATCTTTCACTTTGCTTTAAGTGGTGTTTGAAAGGTAACACAGAGCAAATTGTTGTCACAAACCTCACAAAGTAGGAAAACCACCAACAATTAAAAAGTAATAGAAGTTTGGAGCCACAGGTTCAGAATTTTGCTGAATTCACATAATTTCACTGGAATTGTTTTATTGTGTAAGAAGTCATATGAAAAATTGTAAAATCCTGATTATAGGAAAATTAATCAACGTAATAAAAGTGAACTTTACAGAGTGCCACTTTTCTATTTTAATAATAGATAATTTTAAAAACATGCAGCAGTTCGGACCTTTGCATATAAGTTTTAGCATTAAGATTAATTTGTTCTCTGAACTGGTAAATTCTATCCAAGTGTTACCTTATAGCTAAATTTAAGATGTTTGAAAGCTTGCTTTAACATGCCATAGTCCATAATTGGAGATAAAACATTCTAAAAAATTAGGGAAAAGCATCTAAAGTAAAAATAGATGGCTGATTCTTAATGTCAAAGAATGAAAGCTTTTCCAATTTTCAGTATACCATAAAATGTGATTAAAATGGTAACTTGGAAGACACAGATACCCACTGTGACTAATGGCAGGTCAAAAAGAATCACACATACCACATTCAACTTTAAAAACTTCAGACTTCAAACGTGCATTTAAGGAATATAAAATACTGAAGAGGTAATAGAGATTTTACTAAATAAATATGTGCCAGTGCTACATATATACAAATGCTGAAATAAAATGATTGTTTTGAAGTCTTTTACTTGGTACCTGTGCACAGAAACCAAAACCAAAACCAACGAACAAAACAAAAATTATTGTAGGAAAACACTAAAATGTAGTTTTTGCCTAGAATTTTTCATAAAGAAAATGGGACTGTGATAAGTTTAAATTCCCATGCTTAAGGTATTATTGAAAATTTCACTTTCTCCTCCGACATTTAGTTGACTATGAAGACTTGGTGTTGTTTTATAACAGTTCACTCAATTTCTTAATTCCCAGCATCTAATTTTCTTCCTAGGCCCTAGTGATTATGTTCAAAGCTACTATAAACTTTCTGGCTTTACAATATCCTTACTTTATCAGATATATGCTTATCTGGCAGCATTTCTTTTTTGGGAAATACCTTAGCCTATGCTACAGTGATCTTGTTCAGTCTCTGTGGCTAGAGTGAATTTCATCCCCCATCACCTCAGGTATAAGATCCAGGTTGTCTAACTGAAGTACTGCATCCCACTATCCCCAGAAGAAAATCGAGTCCTGACGATATCATTTCTACTCTTGGATTCACATATGCCAGAAAACAGATCCAGATCTGCTTCCTGGACTTCCAGGATAGATAAAATCCTTTGTTGGGGGGTAAGTTGGAGGGTGACTTAGGCTAGTTTGAGTTGGGTATCTGTTGCATGCATTGTTGAAACACTCAACCAATTTAAATGTGCCATTTACTTCTATAGTATTTCCTAGATTGATATTTATATCATATAATCCTATCATACTATAGGTCAAAAATAAATGTCATATCGAAAATATCAAGGAAATAACAAACAAGATATTTTTCCTGTCTTTCTTTCTGGCATCCTATTCCCATATTTCTGACAATTACTTTTATAAAAACTGCATGCATTCATTTATGTGTATACTTGCAAAAATAAATGCATGCATTAAACAAAAACTAACAAAACTCAGTGTAAGAGAATATACAATATAAAGTAAATCTCCCACCTCCTACCCTCAGTACTACAAATCCCTTCTCCTGAGATTACTAGTTATCTGTCTGTTGTACCTTCTTTCAGAGATAGTTCGCACATATATAAGCATATATAGACACTTGCAAATAAATTATCCCTATTTACAAAATTGACAGCGCTTTATACACACTGTTATACACAACTTGCTTTAATTTTTTTTTCCAAAAATAGCTATTTTGCTTCACAAAAAAAAAAAAAAAAAATTCAGCCAGGTACAGTGGCTTATGCCTATATGGTAGCTCATGCCTCATTTCCCAGTGCTTTGGGAAGCTAAGGTGGGAGGATTACTTCAGCCCTGGAGGTTGAGACCAGCCTGGGCAACATAGCAAGACATCGTCTCTACAAAAATTTTAAAAATTAGCTGGGTGTGGTGGCATGCACCTATAGTCCCAGCTACTCAGAAGGCTGAGGCAGGAGGATTGCTTGAGATCACGAATTCAAGGCTTCAGTGAGCTAGGATCGCACCACTGCACTCCAGCCTGGTCAACAAAGTGAGACCCTGTTTCTAAAAAAGAAAAAAAAAATCCCTACCCCATTCCATGTATCACACTCATCAGTCACATCCCTTCCTTCCTAGCCCCAAAGAAAAACACTTTTATGAATTTGGGTTCATTATTTACAAGAATAGTTTATACTTTTACTATAGTATAAACATTTTACACAAGTATAACACTTTTTCTTCTTATAGTCATATTTTAGGTAAAATTTTATCAAAGTAAACATATATGCAAGTAAGTACACACATGGACTTTTCAATATCAGACTTATTGAGTCATAATTTATACAAGGTAAAGATTTACCCATTTTCACTACATAGTTCTGTAAATTTTGACAAAGTTATCCAGGCTTGACACAGAATATTCTTGTTACCCCCAAATGGTCCTTGTGCAACACTGGAGTCAATGCCCTCTTTTCACACCCAGCTTCTGGCAATCAGTGATGTGATTTTTGTCCCTATAGTTTTTTCCTTTTTAGGAAAGTCATATAAATGGAATCATACAGTATGCAGCCTTTTGAGTCTAGCTTCTTTTACCTAAACATAATTTTTTGAGATTCATCCACATTATTTCATGTATTGGTAGTTTATTCTTTTATATCACTGAGTAGTATTCAATTGTATGAATGTCTCACAAACTGTATATCCACTTACCTGTGAGACATTTAGCTGATTTCTAGTTCTTTGGCAATTACTAATAAAGCTGCTGTAAATATCTATATATAGGTCATTTCCCTGGAAATATAACTTTGTTTCTCTTGGGTAAATACCTAAGAGTGAAATTGCTGAGTCCTGTGGTAAGTGTGTATTTACACTTTATACATCTATATATCTATATATAGATGTATAAAGTTATATATAGATAATAAACATAAACTTTATTAAAAAACTCCCAAACTTTCTGTCTATAATGATATCACTTTAAAGCATCCATGCTTAACTACAAATCAATGCCACTTTTTGACCACCTACTATGAGTTAGGCATTCTTTCAAGTGTTTAAAATACATTACTATAGTCTATTCTCATAACCAACCTATGAGGTAGTTCCTATTATCCCTATTTTGCAAGATATAAAACATAGGTTTATAAAGTTTAAGTAATTTCTAATTATAACAGAGCTAGTGAACTCAAATAGAAATTCAGACCTGTTTGTTCCAAAATACATATTTTCTTTTTACACCACTGTACACATTATATATAAATTACTTAATTCCAGGTGTCACAATGGAATCAAACGATGATTTGATAAAAGAGTTAATGACAATAATGAAAGTTCACAGAATAATCAGAGTGTATTTTATTATACCTTCCGTGACTGAAAAATGGGTTGGTTAAGTAATGTTAAGCTAGTCTTACAGTTACCTATCTTGATATCAGTCTTGACTAATGCCATCTAAATAGGACAGCCATTTGTACTGGCACTGTATCAGAAATGAACTACACTGTTTCATTAGAGTTTAATTTAGTAACTCAGAATGACAAAGAAAAGACTCCACTGTTTACATCACTAAGCACTATTCTTAACCACTATTGTGGATAAACCACTTTTATCTCTCCTTGAGATCTTGTTATGTTTGGTTTAAATGTGTTTTTAATAGTTATAGTCTGATACGGTTAAGCCTTATTTTGGTAACTTCAAGACCATGAATAGAAATTGGTTTTTATCTTAGAACAGAGACATTTGATGTTATGTGTGATATCTGCTAAATAAAGAAGCATACAGTACAAATTAAATCACAGAAGCAAATAATTTTAGACTTGGAAAGGATCTCAGAGGTAATACGGAACCTTAGTTTTGTAGAGGAGGAAATTGTTGCTAATACAACATGTCCAGGGAAACATTTGGAAATTGTGCAAGGTTTCATAGCTGGTTAGAAAGGAAGTTGGAACTAACAAGTATTCAGA